GTTACTGGAGGCCAAGGTAATGCCATCCAGAGTAAGAATCTGCTTAGATACCATATTTCTAAGATTTTCAGGGCCGAGTACAATAACCTCAGTTTGATCTGAATTAAGAAGCAGAAAATCAGAGGTCATCCAGGTCTTTATGTCTTTAAGACATTGCTGCAGTTTAACTAATTGGTGTGTGTTATCTGGCTTCATGGACAGATAGAGCTGGGTGTCATCAGCAAAGCAGTGAAAATGTATGCTATGTCTTCTAATGATGCTGCCTAAGGGAAGCATGTATAATGTAAACAGAATTGGTCCTAGCACTGAACCCTGTGGAACTCCATAATTAACTCTAGTTCTTTGTTGGTTTTGGACATAATTAATTAAGTACAAAACCAACAAAGAAGTGGTCTCACATCTTGTGTGAAGAGGGAGAGAAGGAGAAAGATATAAACCACTGCAATGCAGTACCAGTACAGCATGCTTTAATCGCTCTAATAGGATATTATGGTTAACAGTGTTTAGCGCTGATCCAGGTCTAGCAGGACAATTTTGTTTCTGAAGGTGACATGCAACAGTTCTATGCTTGTAAAACTAGCAGCAGCAGCAACAACAACAACAATAAAAGATTTACAGCCTATTTTAACAGTTGTAGATTTCGAGATTATCAATTCAAACAACCTCACAATCAAAGTAAGTGGGAGATGTAGCTACTGTCCCAGGGTTTGAAGTAGGAACCAAATGTCACTTTCAGATGACAAGAATGCACTGAGACCAAACCTCCAATAAATTAGACTCAATTGGAGTCCAAGTATCACTGTTAACTGTCAAGCAAATTGTACATTGCTATGAACGTTAAAGGTTTTATTGTAAGGTGACACAGAGATTGGGTGGTTTGGCAGCAGATACCTGACGAATGTTGTGCCAACTATTAAGCATGGTGGTGGTACTGTCATGCTCTGAGTCTGCTTTGTTGCTATTGGCAAACCGAACACTGGATGAAATAATGAAAGAAGAAGAGTAGGTGAGAATTCTTCAGCCTAATCTGAAACCATCAGGAAGGTGCCTGAAACTTTGACACAGCTGGCATCTCTACAGGACCACAGACACACTGGTTTTGAAATGAATTAAACAGGCTGAGCTAATAGTAAGGTTTTTAAAGACCTGCTTAGGAAAATTTTCAAATGTGCAGCAAATTCCTCTTTACCTTTTTAGTAGAAATTAGTGTAGTATAGTAATTTTCTATATAAATAACTATTCAAAGACATGGCTATGATACTTTTGATAATGGTAAGTGTCTGCAAACTTTTGACAGGCACGTTAAAAGTTCCTAACTTGTTTTTTTTTTTCGTGGTTAGGTTGGTATCTTTTCTTTTAACAAACCCAAAGAAAAGTCCAAAACCAACAAAGAAGTGGTCTCACATCTTGTGGATCAAAAGCACTGGAGGTCTACAGACCTAAAATAAAAAGTTGTTAGTTAGCCTCATTGTTGTACTGGGTGACATGTTCATTCATTACTTGTAATATATAATAATTTTAACTGCAATTTTTCCATTCGTTGTCTTGCCATTGAAAATGCTTTAATACCAAATCAGTGTTAATGAAAGTCCTTATATTTAAGGATGTTTTCAAAGGCCAGATGTTCTTCTAAGATGAACTCACAATGTGATTCTTGATTCTGATGCCAGGAGTAACTGGTTCTTGTGCCATGTCTTCCAGATGAAGGACTCCCTGATGCAGGAGCTGCAGCAGAAGGCTGAGGAGACTGAGCTGCTTCAGATGGAGCTGCAGATGCTGGAGACAGAGAGGGTCCGTCTGTCTCTGGTGGAGGAGAAGCTTGTGGACATCCTGCAGCTTCTCCAGCAGCTCAGAGACCTGGTTAGTCACAAGGTTTTGGTTTTTTAATTGTTGAGATAAATTTAGAAAGGACGTTTTGACTTTGTAAGGATATTCAAATATTTTTAATTCATTTTAAGGCAGGAAAATCTTGCAAACAAGCATTCAATCCATCATGTGAACTGAATTTCAAAGTAATGAAAATCATTTGCAGGGTTGATAGTTGAGAGATATCCACTGATGGCGCACTGGAATTACTTTGTTCTGGTCAGATATCAAATAGGAAAACAAACAGAAAGCATTTTCCTTGCTACAGGCAAATTCTCCACATGGACATTAACTTGGGAATGTTTTCAAAATAAAAGGCAGCTTTGTGCTGTTGAGGTTTTTATACATTCTTTTGTGTTTGCACTATCCCTTGTCAAACATATGTGAAAGCTTTGCAGTTACAAGATGCAGTTTTCTCATGAAAGTGGCTGTTAAGCACCTGATTCTGTCATCTGGCTCTCTGCTGATTTCAGAACGTCTCACGGAGGTCTCTCGGGAAAATCTTGCTCAGCACTCTGGAGTCTTGCAGCGACCCGCAGCACGGTTAGTAGACCTCACACACCCAATGAAATCAATACAACTCTTGTGACATGAAACCATGAAAATTTACAGTTACTTGTGGGAGGGAGTTAAATGGAAATAAACTGAATGGCCTGTCATGTGACTTCCTCAGAAATATCACATCTGTTCTGTTTTTAACACAGGCAAGGCCCATATTCTGGAGGTGCTCAATGCCCTCTATCATGAACTTACTGCTTGTGAGATTCTGTCTTCTGGTAGACCTTTGGAAAAGACACACAGTCAGCAGTCTCTTGATGCCCTCATCATCTCCTGCTAAACAAGACTGCCTCCTGCTGGCCTCGGAAAATGCAAGCGTCTTTTTGGAGGACACTGAAAGCTCAATAGTTTTGATATATGAAGCTGATTGATGTGTATAGTGTATTATATTATGGCGATTATAAGCCTCTTGCCCTGTATCTATAAAGGGATGTTAATCTAGAATTATTGTAGCAAAGAGCTTTATTACATATAACTGAAATACATGCTCACAGATTTTTTTAAAAGCTTCTATTGCACATAAACTTTCAGGATGCAAAAAAAAAATTGTTTCATTTGAACTTTTTCACAAAAGATACGTAAATGTGAAAATTCAGAAGTGAGTTTAACTTTAACAGGACATAGTGCTCAACCTCTGCTGGTCAACCTCAACCTCTGACATAACCATTCCACATCTGCTTTTTAAGATGAAATAAGCTGAAAAGATGATAGGCTACACAAACTGTAGAGAAATATGCAATCTACAGTGTATTTTACCATCTCAGGAGACCACACATGCTTTTATTTTGCAGCCCTTAGGATGCCTCCGTGTTGGGAGATAATGTGGGATCATTAGCCACTTTGTATCTAACTGTGTTGACATGGTCATCTGCGACTATTAAGCAATAAATAAAAATTTGGATAGAAAATGTATTTCTGCTCAACTTACTCAAGTTCCTCTTACTCGCTTTTTGAACACAACACAGTCTTCATCAGCATTACTAATCACCTGACAAATTGTACAGAGCTAATTCCACTGGTTGTCTTCTAGCTGCTGACAACACATCCTTATCCTGCCACATCTTAAAGCTGTATCTCATGAGCGCACTATTTAATCTGGAATTCACCATCTTTACCTCTTCTACTGAAATTATTTTAAATATTTCTTGTAACATCAACTATTAGTAGCCTACATACAATCATAGACTGTATAACAAAAACAAGCTATCAACAACTTATTTTGGCAAACTTTATTTTCTAAGAAGTAAATAATACTCACCATACCACTTTTGATTAAAAGGGAATAAGATTTTTCATTCAGGCTCATATTTATTGTGCTCTCAAGTAACAGTGGTGAGTGATGCACAAGTTAACTGTTGAGTATGAGAACAAAATTTGGTGAATAAAATGCACTCTGCAAAATTTTTTTACATTTCACTATTTAAAGGATTTTGTAGCCTACTCTAAAACTAACCAACAACCTGGTCAGTGACATAATTTTTAACGCAGTTTAAAAAAATAACTGGAAGGTCAACAGAAATGAAACAACTAGAAGTGGGCGGATCGATCCAAATATGGATAGTATGGATAACAACTCTACCATTGGTATCGGATCGATACTAGCACGATTGGATCAGTACTTTGCTTTTTAAGTTCAGCGTGTAGCCCACTGAACTGTGTTAATTATTTCTCTGGAAAAAATAATCCTCAAACATGCACTATGAAAAATGTCCGAACATTTTTGTGTGCTTTAGAGACAGAACATTTTACATTTGAGGTCTCCAAAAACCCAGTTTCAAAACACATGAAAAGCTGTTGAAATTTCCAGGCAAGTATATACATGTTAAATGACAAGATATAGTGTTCAAATAGCATCAATTAACAACTTCAGGTTTTTTATTTCTATATGACAATTTTTCGTGATTAAACAATAAGAACAAGTAGTCTGATGTCCTGTAATCATTACATTGTAATCACAGTCCCCTCTGTGCATCCTCCGACATGCCAAAAAGGGAGGCTGTAAAAAGAACAAAACCAATAAATATGAGTAAAGTAACAAAATAACTCACCTTATAAACACAAGGATTTAGGATCCTTTAGCATCTGCTGTTATTTTCAATCAATTCATCCAAAAAAATAAAATAAATACATAAATAAATAATAGATGTGCTTACAGTCTGAGAAGATTGTCCCCAACACCACAGATCGCACTCACAACACTGTCCAGTGATGCTGCATTTCCCTGCAAACGATCATCTCCTCCTCTCTCAGGCACCTCACAGCCATCACCTTCTCAAAGACCTTTCTCTTTGTCTGGAGGTCTGCAGCAGCTACAGTTTATCAACATCAGAAGGGAAAACATAATAGCATATTATCATTCAAGAACAGAACATCCAACTGCTGCTCAGATACTGGGAATTTGTTTAAACAGGATACATTTGAAATATTTATAAATGAAGAGCTTACATTCACTTGTGCTCTGCCAGGGCCAAATGTCGGTCTGGATGAGGGCATCACTGGACACAATTTGCTTTGTTGGTTCAGCAAGCTTGGTTCTTCTCATCTAAGATGACCTTGTGAATTCTTTGTCGCCTCTTGTTGCTATCTGTAAATAATCATAAAAAAGGCACACCTTCACATAATGTATATATTTAGATTAGAATCCACACTCTTCAATTTGTTTGCTAGAACATGCATCACATCCAGCTAAAACAAACCTGGATAAGATTTTATTCTGTTTACAAAGTAGCCGTACATGCACCAAACTGCAAAAGTATCAAACGGCCCATTTCAAAGAAACAGGGACGTACCACTCTGTCTTTGTTTGTAAAGATTTTGTTTGCACTCTGATGATTGCGACAAGCTCCTCTATTCGTGCCTGCAACGCTCCAAGGCTGCCATCGGTTTGATCCGTTTCTAAGTGAGAGGAATATTAATAAGAATACAGGATGAGTATAATACATAAAACTGATCACTCACATTCAGCAATCAGTCTTTAAAGCAGAATTTCCAGAGCTAGACTTTCCCTTTAAGGGGGGCGGTACTTTTCACACAAATGTCATAAGTGTATTGTTTCATTTAAGTGGCTGAGACATAACTCCATGTGCCTTTCCAAGAATACTGTAGAAAAGCTGTACTACGTGTGCTATCTAGGGTTTGAAATTATCACCAACCAAATGCAGGAAATCTAAACTACTATAACGCACACAAAGTTAACAACGCAGTGTATGCTGTACAGTGTAGCGGAGCAATGCTCAGACCTCTACATTGGAGAGACCAAACAGCCACTTCATAAGCACATGGCACAACATAGAAGAGCCAAATCCAGGGGCCAAGACTCGGCTGTCCATCTCCATCTAAAGGACAAAGGTCACTCTTTTGAGGATGCCAACATTCACATTTTGGACAGAGAGGACAGATGGTCTTAAAGAGGAGTGAAAGAAGCCATTTATGTCCACTGTGAATGACCATCTTTGAACAGAGGCGGTGGTTTACGACACCAACTGTCTGCCATCTATAATCCAGTTTTGAGATCCTTCCCAGACGCCTTAAAGCCCACTCACATCCTGGACCATCTGACTTCAATAAATAACATAATACGGTGGGGCTAGGTTTCACAATGGGTTCACCCAAAACCTTGGCTGATTGGGACCTACAACCGTTTTCACATCTTGGCTAATGATAGTGGATAAATGATGATAGAGGATAAATAGGGGGTCCATGTCCCTCTTGAGGGGACACTCCCATAGGGCTTAAAATCTGGGACTCTCCACCATTTGACCTTAGAACTGAAGAAGCTTTTCAGATGAGAAAAGATGAGATGAACATCTTCAAGGAAACTTAAAGTCCAGAGGCTTTTCTTTCCAAGCTCCTTAGACTTCGATGACCTGGATGACTGAGAACCTTCACAGACAGACTACCAAGTGTGATGCAGAGAGAATGAAAATAATACCATAAAAGAACATAATAACTCTCTTTGTTCAGCCTAATGTTACTCTACAGTTCTGTTGTACATCAGTGAGGTGTATGGACTGAACTACAGTGCAGTCTGTTATCATTGACTTGACAGATATTGATTATAAGACATCTGTAGCCTTCATGCGCTGCATTATCATGAGACAACAAGTACGTTGGTGTTCAGGTTTATAAAACCATCTTGTACAACAGCATTTCAATCCAGGTACAATCCCATTTGATCAAATGCAACAACTCTGCCACAAATTCTGCTTTTACAAGCCTTATGTTTCATTGTTGACACTGTCAGAAAGATATTAACTCTACCTTTAGTTCATTAATGAGGCCATGGTGGGTCCTATCATTGTATAGGTGTGCATTATATTGAGAGTCACCTTCAGCCCAGTTCTGCACATCAACCACCTATTGCTGTAGTGTGTTGTCATCCACATTTAGGCTCTCCACTTGTTCTCTAAGGATCCTGTGATCTAATTAATAAATGTCATTCACTTTGACATTTTTAGAGTACTGGTGCTTTTCCCCATTACCACACACATCAAAATTAGTGTTGAAAAACTTACCTTTAGATATCTCTGGCTCAAAGTGCAGCCCAGCTGCTTCACTTTCCTTTTGTTCCACCCCAAAGTCAGGAGGGTCAGCATGTCTGTTCACCCTGCATTTTAGTTAGTCTACCAATAATAATTAATCAGCAGGAAACTAAGTGGAATCTCACACACAGACACATTAGGCCACAGCAGGTGCAGCTCACCATTGAGAGGCAGCTGGCATTGAGAGGTTATAACGGCCTGTAGGACGGATAAGTTTAAGTTAATAAATTAAGTAACAGGTTAAGGTCAACAGCACCTAAGCCACCAAGGAGCCCACAAGTATGTATGCCAGTACTAAGCAAAATATTTTGACCTAGTTTTATCTTTTTTTTCATGTTGCTTTCAAATCAGTCTGGTAAATCCAAATGACCTTTGATAGGTGCATATACCGTGGGCCAAGGGTAATTCCAAACAAGATAGCAATGCACAGTATGCACTAAAACCTGTAAACACGTCTATTGTGTATGTATTGTGTGACAAAAGGGCCACTTACCATTTATGGTTACAAGAGCCACTATTGCGCCAGGTGAACCCTCAACGTTACCTGCTGTGCAGCCACACACATCATCTGGCCTTTGCACAGGCAACAGCCGCACTAACATTAAAACACACAATATATATAAAAAGAATTGGAAGTCCACTGATACACAATAAATATACAATAACAGCACCCACTCATAGTGCATAGTAAGGAATGTATAGGACTTAAAAACTGTACCTATTTGCTGGTGAAACTCTGATGAAGGCTGCAAAAACCCTCCTGTCACTGCCTCTCTGTTGTGCAGGACAAAGCGTGTGTGAACTGCAATATCACAGTGGGCACAAAGGAATGGAAGAGGCAGTCAGTCCAGGCACCTCACAACAACTTGTTTGCCACACTGACACACACTGTGTGGCTGTGGAGCCAGAGGAGCTAACATATTGTCAATAAGACAAGGCCTGGCCTCTTTCTACTTTTGCAAGGACACCATGTTTCTGATTTCCCAGTGAGTAGCAGCCAACTCAGACGACGTCTCACAAGTCACAGCTGCATCCTCTTCTCCATCCTCCAACAACTGAAGGAGCTGCTGACGAAGCAACTCAGTTCCAGGCACTAACAGAAAAAAAACATTAAGAAATAAAGAAACTGCCACAAAGTGAACTAAATACTCTAGGCAGTGTGGCTTAGGTTGGAACAATGACCTTGTCCAGCTATGCCGTGGCTTTGGTGAGAGAAGCTTTGGTGCAGAAACTGATGAGTCAGTAAGATAACTAAATCAGTACCTAAGACTGAAGCTCCTTGAATGAGTTACTTCAATATGACAGGGTGAAATGTCACTTTGATGCACCAACAGAAAACATGGATCAGGTAACCTGCATACCTGCACTTTAAAGAAACTGGAGAACCTGAAGGACGCATGAACACTTCGAACGATCCACAGCTATGACAAGTGCACAGAAATCTGCAGTAACTCCACATTTAAACATGTTCAGTTGCTTCATTCAACAACCTGTCTTTAGATGAGTGACTGTGACAGCATAAAACTTTTTTCTCACCTTCCTTTTTACTCCAAACCTGGAAGCACACACGACACAGGAAATATAATCAGATCTCTGACAGTGAAGACAAATAAACGATCTCGACTTAGCTCTGCTAATAATGACTCAGAGAAACAAAAATGTACATGTGTGTGTGCAGATTATTTATACACTTATTCACAAAAAAGATTACATTTGTTCATTTTTCATTCAACAGTTCACTAAACCAGTCTTGGCTACATAAAAATGCACAATAAAGCAAAACTGGAGAAACCAATAGACATTTTTAATCCTTCTCTTATATGGTAAATGGACTGGTTCTTATATAGTGCTTTTCTACTCTTCTGAGCACTCAAAGCGCTTTACACAACTTGTGCATTCACCCATTCACACCCATTCGCACAAGCACATTGTTCTAAGTGTTCTAAGTGCTTTCTAAGAAGCATTCACACACATTCATACTCCGATGGATGCATTGAAAAGCAATTTGGGGTTAATATCTTGCCCAAGGATATTTGGCATGCAGACTAGGGGAAGCCAGGAAACCTGGCAACCTTCCTATCAGTAGATGACCTGCTCTACCGCCTGAGCTACAGCCACCCCTATATATGTTCTCATTTTATTTTTACCTATCAACTGAAGCACAAGCGTAAAGAAACACAGACATTTGAATCTGTCTGAATGTAAAGATCTTATCTCTCAGTCTCTTTTCTTCTTGAGTTTCTAACAAAAAAATGTATTGATTTGCTGTAATTACACTGTAACATTACTTTTTCATTGTGAATTTCAGCCTCCTTTTTCACATTTCTGCTGCTATTCTTATGCAATCAGACTCTCACAGCTTTCATGTTCCTCATTTGTTACCAGCTAGAGTTGGTATTAATTAATTAGGTTGGTTCTCAGGAAGCTGGTGTTAAATCGTTTCGTATACAGCACCTCCTTCTGAACGAAAAGGGATTGTTACAACAACGAATCCAGAAAGAAAAAATCCTAAAACAATAGAGGCAATATCCTTGTTAGAACTGGCCGATTTATTTATGTCCTCTTTTATGGACATTTGTTTTTGTTCTAGGGATTGAAAGATTCTATGGGCTCAAATATTTATGACCACAATTTGAGCCCATATCGAATCCGTATCGTCGATACCACTCTGAATTTTACCTGGTATCGGATCGGAAAGGAAATCAGTGGTATGCACATCACTAGAAACAACGGTCTGGAAACAACTTACGAGTTCTCGTGGTCTCGCGGGATTTCCCAGCGTTGCCTAGCGACGTGACTCTCAATCGGTTCCGCGAGGGCTTTTCTGGCTTTCAGAAGTATTAATGTTTTCTGGAAGTGTTTGTTATGCGCAGAGACACTCTTCAGTTTTCAAGTCTGCTGCTGCTGCTGACATATTATTATTTTTTTAAGTGACATCTAAAAATGTCTTTTGTAGTTGCTCAGTCCCATTTCATTTTCGGTGTACGGACTGGTGTGAGGAACAATTTGTGTTTCTTTGACGAGCAAACCGTCGTCTTCCCCAGCGGAAACAGCTGCGTGTGTTTCAACACTGTCCAACGATGGCAGCGGTTCATTTCAGGTGCGCTCATTTTTAGATGTCTAAGTCATAACTAACTAACATAAGTAACTACATTTCTACCCTGGTGGTGCTCTTGATATAAGTACGAAAGTTGGTTTTTTTAGTATTTAACAGCATTTATTTCTGTTGGTGTCGTCTCTCCAGGCTCAGAGAGAAGTCAGGGAATGCGTGCTATGACCATCAGCTCCAACAGACGCTACCTGGCAGTGTCAGATTATGGAGAGAGAGCCACCGTCACTGTGTTTGACCTGCAGCATGAGCAGGGCAGAAAGAGAAAGGTTTTGAGTGCAGGAGACATGTCTGTTCAAGAGTTTATCTGCATTGCTTTCTCTCCTGATTCCAAGTACCTGATAGGCCTGACAGGGAGCCCCGAGTGGATGCTGATCCTCTGGCTTTGGGAGAAACACAAACTCCTGGCAACACTGAAGACAACAAACACAAATAATCCTGTCACCCAGGTGAGTCATCTGTGCTGCATCAGTGAAGCTTGTATAAATGCAGGCATACACATGCTGAACACGTTGTTATTATTATAGTAACTGTTTCTCATCAGGTCAGCTTCAACCCTTACAACAACACACAGATCTGTGTGAGCGGAACCGGTGTTTTCAAGCTGTTCCGCTACTCAGAGGGGGCCCTGAAACCAAGCAGTGTTGCAAAGGTTGAGTCCATCAATTTCCTGTGCCACACCTGGGTGTCAGAGCACAGGGTGATCGCTGGCACAGACACTGGCAGGCTGCTGGTGTTTGAGTCTGGAGACCTGCGAAGAGAGATCAGCATGACTTGTGTGCAGGGCCAGCCTGCCAGGTGAGAAAGCTGGACCACATGAACTGGTGCTATTTTACATGAAGCAGCCTCTGTAACTCATCTCCACCCCATGCTGTTCCTGCCATTTTTGACCCAATCAGGGTCAAGTCCATAATCATAATGGTGAATAATCTGACCTCAAAACCAACTAATTTTATTGAATTCTGTCGGTTGTACCCCAAAAATATCTAGCATAGAGCTTTTCATGGCTACCAAAAGCACCTGCTAATCTGGGCAGATGGGCAAATATAAATGATTCCTGGTGTCTAACTTCATTGTTGTCCAACAAATACACGCCGATGGATTAAATAAAGACTTTAAATGTCTGAGCAGCTAGTATCACTCATAACGTGTGGCAATGATTAAAAAAAGTAGTGGAAAAATTGGCAGACATGTTGAAACATGGAATGGAAATGCGTATAACAAATGATAACCAGCTGATCTCAGACCAGATGAATGGGTTCACTGTGGTCACTGCAGCGATCCATCTTTGATGAGTGATGTTCTTGCTTATACCCGCTTCACTCTGCACAGGCAGGTGGAGGTAAAGAAGATCAAAGATGCTAATGTGAATGAAGGTCCCTCTGTCCCTTCCATCACAGCAATCCTGTCCTACTCCAAAGGCTTTGCATGCTCTAGAGGTCCTGGCACCGTTTTTCTGTTTGAGCAGACAGATGAGAATGGTTACAGAAAGACCAGGGAGATAAAGGTAAATGTTCAAGCTTTATTTCAGAAAAGGTGGAAAGTGAAGTCTTTGTGTGCACATGGGTATGCTTGTGTCAGATCCCTCTAGATGCATACTGCAGCGGTGTGACCTTGGCAGAATACCAGCAGATTGACACCATATGCATCAGTCCAGCAGAGGAGACTTTGGCCATCAGCACAAACCAAGGACAGCTGTACAGTGTCAGCCTGTCCTCTGTGGACATGAACAAGGTGCTCTGCAGTTACACCTACCAGCACCACCAATGACGGGGTTCATCATTTGTATAAGTGAAATTACTGCATCAACTGTCCTAGCTGGTATTTTATTTTCTTCCACATGCCCCCATCAATTCAGATTATGTAGAGCTGTTTGCTACATGCATTCTCACACTGACCTCCTCTGTACTTGAAACATTACTATAGTAGCTGGTCGGCAGTCAGAAATACATACATATTATTTTGCTGTTTTACTTTTTCTTCTATGTATGATCTCACTTCCTGTTGGGTCTGTGTTTCCACAAGCCCCGCTAATTCTAGAGACTTATTCATCATGAAGAAAACAAGACAGTCGATCGATCAATCACTTGCGCAAGGGAGGCCTGTGTCCACCACGAAAATGACCTCTACCACGACCTCCCTTGCTGCCCTTTTTATTGAGACACAGTTCACACAAAACACGTCAGAACAAAGCCACGCCCCCTTGGTTCTCAGACAAAGCATTTGTATGTATATGTGTGAACTTCTGTAAGAAAGTGTGTGTGTGTTATGTGTGTGTGTGTGTGTGTGTCAGACCTCCTGCTGACCAAAGGGTCGTAAACCCAGGAAGCTTACAAAAAAGAAACAGATCTTTCAGATAGGATGTATCTACAATAAAACCTCCCCCAGCACAGAGTGGTTGGAGAGGTGGTCAGGATCAAAGGAATGGCTTTGATCCTACTGCTTGAACTAAGACTGTACAAATTTAAGAAACACAATGGCAACATTCAACAATTAGACTTAACACTTCCTCTTCTTTTTTTTGGTGGACCAATTGTGCTAATTTCTATTTTTAACAGTCTTTGTATGCTGTAGCAAAGAAAACAGTAGCGAAGTCTTGTGAATGAAAAGAAAAAGGTCAATCCAAGAAACATGGAAAACAGTTCAAATAATCCAGCAAAAAATAATTTTGTCTTTATTTGCAGCTCCATATTTTTATTCACGGACTTTGTTAGAGTAGTTGTCTTATACTAGGCCTCGATACATCCCCTCAGTTCATTTTTTATCTGAAACAAGCTTCTCTGCCTTTAAGTTAGTTCTCTAAGGTGACCTTTTTACAGATATTCCCTCTCTTTGACATCATCTAGAGTAGATGTGGCCCACATGAGGTCAGTGGTAGATTAGGATTTAAATGTAAAGACATTGCACCCTTTGATAAACTCCCCATCAGAATTGAGTTGAGAATATAGGCTGAACTCAATTCTGATGTAGCATGGCCCTCCACAACAGTGCCAGTTTCTCATGTGGCCCCTTGAAAAGTTAATTGCCCATCCATTCTCTAGAGAAAAAGGGTAAAAAAAATTTTTTTGTTGTTTTCTCCTTCTCTTCCTTCATTGTCTTCTTTCTGTTATCTACCTACACTCTCTTTTTTTCTCCACTTGTTTAAGGCATCAGAGTTCTCTTTAGATGTTTAAAGTTATCTTTGCAACTCCATTAGGAGGATAAACTACACTTTGAGTTCCTGTCCCAGTCCTTCCACTCCAGCTCCATCACTGGTTTGTCCATCTGCATACGCAAGCCCCTCGTAGCCACCTGCTCTCTGGACCGCTCTGTCCGCATCTGGAACTACGAGACAAAGTAAAACACATACACACAATTCCTTTTATAGATATATATCAATCAGTTTTCGTCAGGTTGATACAATATAAAACTGCATAACAGAATGACATGTCGTGTTTCTGAGCTCTTGCTGTTCTCTCTGTTTTGTCTCTAGAGTGTTGGAGCTGTGCAAGGAGTTCCAGGAGGAGGCGTACAGCGTGGCACTACATCCCACAGGCCTCTTCATCCTTGTGGGGTTTTCAGACAGACTCAGGCTGATGAACCTGCTTATTGATGACATCCGCACCTTCAAGGAGTTCACTGTGCGCAGCTGTAGAGAGGTAGAGGTTGCTTTGCATTTGTGTTTGCAGTAAATCTGAACAGCCAATACTGAAATAATCAGAGTATTACTAAATTCAAGGGTGAAATGATTGATCTTTACCCCCTTCTGTTGTGTCTCATCCAGCTGTGTTCTGTAAATCCGTAAATACTGAATCCTGGGTTAGCGTTTTCAGCATTTACTGCAATATCTGATAATTCATCTTAAAGTGGAGCATTATCACATTTTCCACTCAAAACTTTTGCGATTGGACTCTGTCTTTGTCTCCTTCTCTTTTCAGTGTGCTTTTAGCAACGGTGGCCACATGTTTGCAGCTGTCAATGGAAACATCATTCAAATCTATTCTGTCACCTCTTTTGACAATATCCTTAATCTGAAGGGCCACAATGGAAAGGTGAGTCAGCTGGAGTATGTGTTACACAGGAGTCCCAGTGCTTATTTGTCATTCTTATTTACTGGTATTTCAATTAACAGGTGTGTCGGATTGAATGGAGCCTGGACGACAGCCGGGTCGTGTCTTGTGGGGTGGATGGGGCAGTGTACGAGTGGAACACGCAGAGTGGCAAGCGGGAGTCAGAAAGCGTCCTAAAGTCCTGTAGTTATACAGGTGTGGCCTTCTCCTCAGACTGTAAAACCATCCTGGCTGTGGGAACAGACCTCACTCTGAAGGAGATCCAAGACTGTCAGGTTAGCAAGCACAGCTGACTCCTGGATTTGTTCTTTTAAGTTGCTACAAATCAACAAAACATCTCAAGCAGCAGCAATGTTGTTTTTTCTTTCTTTTTTTTTTGTTTAAAAAAACTGGGTTTATTGTTATATCCTATCCACAGGTACTGAGGGAGGTTCCAGCTGATGAGACAGCTCACACTGCTCTTGCAGTGTCCCATTCTGGTAGAGTGGTCTTCACCGGGACCTCCAGTGGGACTGTAAGGGCCATTAAATACCCATTACCTATCCAGAAGGAATGGATGACATACCAGGCTCACTCTGGGCCTGTCACCAAGGTGAGCAGAAGCACTGATTTGCTCTGATTGAGATTTGCACTGATCAGAATACTTTATTGATCCCTAGGGGAAATTATGTGTATTAATGTGATGTGAGATTGATATACACACAATCTCACATCGTGTATGAAAAAATCGATTGACTATGATGCTGATCATTCAGACGCAAAGACTCCACCCACTAAAACATGTGTGTCCTCAGATGGTGATCACGTATGATGATCAGTTCCTGCTGACAGTGTCTGAAGACGGCTGTCTGCTGATTTGGAAAATCATCGATAAGGAAGGCAGAGGTCTAAAGAGCAACAAACACATAGTCCACACAGAAGAGATCCTTATCACCAAGTCAGACCTGGAGGAGAAGGTGAGTAAGTGCATAGTGTGACAGCCCCCTGTTGGTCTTGTTCCTAAAGCATTGTAAGTTCTTGATCCTGGACCATCAGTGCAAGTGGTCAGTTATGTGTTTGTAATGTTATAGCTTTGGAACATCACTCAGTGCAACACTCAGTGCATCATGGGAAGTCTCCAGCAGCCTAGGCCTATTTCAGCATAACTAAGGATTCAGGGTCACCTGATCCAGCCCTAACTATATGTATCCTATGTATGTGTATGTGTATATTTCATCTAAAAGAAAAGTTTTAAGCCTGATCGTAAAAGTAGACAGGGTCTCTGAAAGCTGAAGCCTCTGCCCCCCAGTCTACTTCTACTTCCTAGAAGGAACAATCCTTAGTGCTGTACTGCATGTGAGGTTTGCCAGATGAAGCCTCCCCATACATGACTAGCATGCATCCATCCATGCATACTTACATACACACACGTAGATACAGAGGTGGCAAAAGTACAGATATTTCGTACTTAAGTACAGATACTAGTATCAAAAAAGCCTGTTTTAAAAATATGAGGAGTAGAATGTAAAGATATTTGATTAAAATGTAGGGAGTAAAAGTAAACAGCTGTCAGAAAAATACCTACTCAAGTAAAGTATAGATACCTGAAAATTCTTTTCAAGTACAGTAACAAAGTATTTGTACTTTGTCATGTTGTTCAGTAATAACATGCGCCGTTAAAATTGGGCGCTCTTCCTTCCTTTTTAGTTTCAAAACACGAAGGGTGTTTGTTTCACTTTAAGGTTGGATTAAGAATTACTGTGTGAGGAACGGTTTCACTTTTGACTAGGGAAATAATATGCTTACCTTTGGGTTTATGAGAATTGAATTACAGTGAGAAGGGGATCTTCTGAATGCGCAGGTTGTTTGCTACTGTGAGACAGTGGAGAGAACTTACGAAGTTACCTTCTTTCACCAATTAAGAGTGGAAGATCTCGTAACATTCTGGTGGAGATGCCGGGGTAAAAAGAGTGAGTTCGGACGAGGAAGTCCGAGAAAAGGACACCTTGAGTTGAGCAAGGTGTTTAACTGACTCAGGATTTCAGAGAATCGAGTCAGCTGTGATCTTGAGTTCTGATGGTAAATTGATTTTAAAGCAAAATCAATGTTTACTATGATGAAGTAATTCTGATGATATTACTAGATGTGCTGTGATACCAGTGAAGAATAAGTTGTGTACATGAGGATACACAATTGTGTTGAAGATTACTGGACCCGGCGAGGTCCATTTGATGAAGTTCTTGGGCAGATAAATGACAAACAGTTTTTCAAGTGTGTGGAGAATTTAAAAAGAAAAAAACTGAACTTGCAGGTTCTCCGTACTGTGTGGACTTATATCAGAGTTATAAGTCCAAAGGTTATGCCCTGGAGGCCAAGAGTTGTGTTTAAAGAAGAACATAAGGTCACATTTTGTCTAAGATGGGGAGAATTGTCCCATATGTGTTTATTTCTCTTCTCTTTTAAGAGGACAGACGCAGTTACTGAGTGTTGTCTACTTCCTCTTTCTGATTCTTGAAAGCATGTTTGATAAAATACTCTTAGGAAAGCGTATTTTGAGTGATTCTAAGTGTGTGAATGTTGTGAGTACTCGATTTGAATGTTTCTGTGTGATTTGTACAAAATAATAAATAACTAATAATAACTCATAGGCGAGTGTGTGAACAGAGGAAGTCTGAGAGAGAAGTGTGTGCGTAGGCAAACTGCAGAGTGTGTGTGTGGAATAAGGGTGCATTGTTTTTACATCAAGATTTAGTAGAACTAAAGTGGAACGTCACAAACAAACAGTAAAATAAAGAGAGAAAATAACTGACAATTACATTAATGAATAGAAAACACACATACACAAAGTGCCATATGTGAAAATTATTTTAGGAAAGAATCAGAAGTTCTATGTCTGCTTATAGCTATTAAAAATGTACGATTAACTGTGACTAATGTCTGGAACCTATTTTAATCTGTATTTGACGCCATGGGGGGGCGTGTACCCCACTGCTTTAGAAGTGTCCACAACATGTATTTTGGTCAGAAGACATATGTTGATGTTTTCTCCGGGCTGTTAATAAAGTCATTGTTTGATTGCACTTTTCTGGGGCTTCCGTGGTTTGTGACACTGCTCTACATTGATCGATTTCGCGACAGCTTTGGTGGAGGATGCAGGCACCATCAGTCACCCTCAGAGCACAAATCTTGAGCTTGGGGATATCCTGAATCCTGACATCATCAGTGACTGTTCCCACGATGACAGTGATTTTGTTCTCACGGCCGGGAAGCTTCATCTTACGGATCAGGCGGGAGACGGCAATGGGAGGCCTGTTGGTTCTGCTCATGAACAGCCTCTGTTGGTTTGGATGTTCCCAGCTCTGTACATACGACCATTTTCGGCTTCTTATGATGCCCCAGCAACCAGGACCAAGCTAAGGTCCTGGTTGCTGGGGCAGCATCTCAGCAGAGACCTCACTCTCACCACTAATCCTGGTCTTTCGGGGACCTTGAGGTGTTCCCAAACCAGATGTAACTTCTCCAGCATCTCTCTTCAGCCTTTCTCTCTTTAGTACATGCCTGAAACACCTCGTTTAGGAGGCCTCCTGGTCAGATGCCTGAACCACCTGAGCTCACTTCTTTTGATGTGATGAAGTAGTGGCTCTACTTGGACTTCCTCCTACATGAACAGGCTCCTCACCGAGCCTTTGGAGGAAGCTCATTTGCACTGCTTGTATCCATGGTCTTCAACCACTACACACAACTTGTGGCTGTAGGTCAGGGTGGGAATGTAGGTGAGCCAGTAAATCGACAGCCTTGCTTTCACACGAAGCAGAGTCTGGGGTTCACATTACTGCAGACGCTACAGCAATCTGTTCTTTCCAAGTAGTATGAGGTACACTTCATGTGTTTATGTGTCTGGTTTAAGTTATTTATGTACGACACTTTAGAAGAAAGCTAAAAGAATTGCAACAAGGTGACAACTGTCATGTTATGGTTAAAAGAAGAGGTATTGAATGTATGTTCCTGCGTCTACTTTCAGACCCAGCACATGCTGGAGATGAAGATGCGGCTGGAGGAGCTGCAGATGGAGAATGAGTACCAGCTCCGCCTGAAGGACATGAACTACAACGAGAAGCTCAGAGAGCTGTCTGACAACTTTGTCCAGCAGATAGAATCTCTGAAAACAT